AGCCCCCGGTTTCCCGAAAATTCCCCGAAAAGTGGCCCCCCCCCCCCCCCCCCAAGCCCCCCACCCCCCCCCCCCCCCCCCCCGGCCCCTCCGCCCCCTGGGCCTGATCCGGCAGACGCCCCTTGGCCGATGGGGTAGGCGCGGATTCCTCCTGGCATCCCTGGCTGAGCAATGCCTGCGAAAAGCATCTTGACTTTGTCAGCCACCTGTTACGGGGGAGGCGTGGGTCGACGCATCGGTTTGGACGGAGTGGGTGCTCGTGTCTGCCATGAGTGGAACGGGATAGAGAGCGCGCGGTGGGAAGGATAGTTGGGTATCCTACAAGACAAACACGCCGAAACGTCAACGCGCTGAATTGACAAACTACGAGGCCACGAGTCAAAGAGAAGCGACAAACCGTACGCCCACTTTTCCTTGGGGAAAGTTTGCATAACTGATGCGCACATGCAAACGAGGATTTTCACCACCATGCAGTACGTGAAGCCTTCCCTTTTGGCAAGCTGGGGTTTGGGCAAAAACAAAAGGCCAGTTGAGTTCTCCTAGGTGCGGTGTGACGTCACGGCAAGGTAGTATTGCGGAGAAATTGTGATACTTGAGCGGCGGTAACACGCATTGGACGGCGTTACCCACCTGTAGCACGCCGAAGGGGACGTTGGTGGAAACTAGCGCTTTCACCCCGGTAGCAGCTTCGGGCGAGGCTTTCACCAGGTTTAACTCCCTGCGGAATTGACCAATGAAGTCATACAATACCACGTCATCATGATTTTACCGCATCATCCCGTAAGCCTTTCTGGTTTGAAAAAGGAAGTGCTAGCACTTGCAAGTAATCTAAAAGGCTGTGAGCTCGACGTTGACGATATACCTGATCTGCATGTCGTCTCCGACGCAAAACTGCCTCGAGAAGTCCCTCGTTGCAGATGCGGCGTGAAGGGCACACCGAGCCTGTGAGTTACACCCCCAGAGAGCGAACACCGTTGTAAATGTCCATACAAAATGGTGACAAAAGGTGTACAAGTTTGTGGACTTGATGGCTGGCAAGATAAGACGCTGGAGGGATGCTTGTCCGCATGAAACTGTTTGGCGGGTCTCAATAGAAGACGCACATGGAATTGTCAAGGGAAGCAAAGGTCCTTGCACCTCTTCATTCCTTTCGATGTAGTGTATGTACCCCATGCGAGAGAATGCTGCTGTACCTGGTAGATGTCGGGCAGCCTCTTTCCGGTGCACGTTTCCCACAGGTACACTTGCCCTTCGCTGCTAGCAGTCAAGATCCGGCGGTCCCTCTCTTTCCACACGATTGACCTGGGGGTTGTAGAGGACACATATTAGGCTCGCAAGCACGGGCTTGACCTAAGAACAATGACCTCCAGTGGAAAATGACCGTTGTCCCTGGAAGTAATCCTGTGACTAGAAGATTCTTGGAAACAAATCAGGTTCAAACAGGGATTGACGTACACAGGTCCTGCACAGGGAGATCTGCCGCATGTGCACTAAAGTTAACCAGCCCTCTCCACGAATGTGCGATGCTCACAGATCATCACCGCATGACGCTGCCGAAACTCAACCTGTACAGGTGATGAAGTCCTACCTGATCCTTCCCTGGTGACCTTTAAGAGACGTCACGAGATTACACGTGAAAGTTTCGTACACCAGGATCTGTTTATCGTTGGCAAGGGTAGAGAGACACGGCAGGGCAGTGATGTTGGAAGGGCAGGATCGACACGGATATCAATATATTGTGCCATACCTTCTTCCACCACCAAGGTCAAATGGGGACCAGCTTGGTGTGTGTCACTAACTACATTTACCTTCTATTCACCTCTTTAGTGCCCTTTAGGGCATATAAACCACATGCAAGTTTCGTGGTCACGATAAACTAAACAAAAACAAGCTAACAATAACATCAAGAGAAGACGCACCGAAAGTCCCACCAGAAGCGAGAAAGAACAACCTCCCAATAAGGAGACCCGCGTACGCAAGATCGACTTAACAAATTATGTGTTTGTTTGACAAAGAATTCATCTCCCGAGATAACGAAAATGTCCCACCAACAAAGGAGACATCTCAAGACTACCAAAGGCAATGGTAGCAATTCCACCGGATGCATTTTGAAGGCATAGGGAAGGAAAATTAGCGACAAGCCATTTCGTACTTCTGTGCTGCATCAAACAGCGATGCCCCCCCCCCTTGTGCTAGCGTTCAATACTGTAAGCACTTGGAATCTTCGCGACATGTTGAATTTCGTTTAACAGGAGCCACGTGTTTCCCACCTGAGCGTTGTGAGAAAAAGAAAAATATTGCCCCCCTCCGCTGAAGCACACCACTCGGCAGTGTTTGACGACGAACTCCTTCAACTCGCGCACGTCCTCCATGAGGATGCTGTACAGCCGAACCTTTTTCATGCGGTGAGTATCGATCGAGCATGCCCATGGCGGACATCCGGACAGGTGTATTTTCACGGGAATGGGCGAGAGTGTTTAGTTAGAGAACGTATTATCGCTGGCCTCGACATCCATCCAGTCAACACCGTTGTTCACTCCTAGAAATGACAGCAGCACCGAGTCTGCTCGAACGTTACGGAGAAGCCTGCTTTTCATCACCTTTTCGCCGAAGGAAACGAGGAGGTACAGGCCGGAGGGGTGGAGGGAGACGGCGAGGGGTGCGGCGTCGAAGAAGCTGATGAGCTCCGAAGACTTGTCCTGGAAGTTCCAAAGTCGAAGAGCCTTGTCCATGCCCACCGTCGCCACCTATTCCCACGGTGTACGGAGAACGGAGAATGATACAATACAATCGCAGTCGGCACATTGCTACCAAGCGGCAATCCGTGTCACTCGTAAAATTCATCGAGGTTTCCTGTAAGTGTGATGCCGTAACACATATTTGTAGCCCAATACTCCACTGCTACATAAACCTTGCAGGCAGAAGGCCCAACGCATGCTTTTATTACCGCTAGTGCTTCAAGGCGCTTTCATTGCTTGTAACAGTGCCAGGGTAGCTTATGGCAGCACCCCGGAAGCACGTGACAGCCCCTTGGTCTCATCGCGACAGACTCCACCTCCATCCGTTTCAAGTCAGCCATTTTACTCGGACTGGCACTCGGGGTTTAGCTCGGTCAGAAGTATCTCACCAGGGGCTTCCACACCGCCACCGAGACGCCGGTGATTCGCGACGAGGGGACCCCTGTTGTCCCCCCGCCAGGGCGCGTAGGAGCGGTTGGAATGGGAAACGGCCCCGCCATCCTCTCGAAATTCATGGTGTCCTCTTTCAAGATGTCCGTGTTCGACAAGGCAAGGCTGCCACAGGCAGCAGACAGGAGGGAGAAAATCGTGGTGTTAGCGATGCAGTCGTCGCGATAAGTCCGCGCGCAACGTGCGCGACGCAGATGGTCATGAAACGTCAGTAGACACATCTTCGTTCCCTGCACGGGACCAGGCCAAGAACAAGACGAGCAGAGGTACAGTACAATGTGTCGTGTGAGCTGTCAGCCAGAAATCTCCATTCTACTCACCTGTATATCTGGTTGTTGGATGTCGTAAGAGCCAGCTGGTCTTCGCTAGGGCTGATCGCAAGGTTGGTGATGGAGCTCACGTTAGCTTCAATTCGAAACGTCTGCACCGGGCGGAGGGAGGGCACAAGAGTGCAGCAACAAGCGTGAGGGCTTGCGGGGCAAGTCGTGTCCGTAGTTTGGTTGCCAGATTGAAGCACCTGTTGGAGGCGAGTTGTACTGAACCCAACCGCACTACTCGCAGAACACAGCAGTACACAACAAAGAAACAACACAGCTGCTGCACGATGCGTACGACCGAAACAGAGCTAAGCATGGTGTCCCGCAAGACTCGTCACAATCTCCTGAACCGGTTGTACAGCAGTTTTTCCGCCCAATGACGTGTTCAGCCGACACTAACCAACCTCACGCCAAGAAAACCTTCGTCACCTTGAGGCACTTAAAGAACTCTCCGGGTTCGTCCGATCTTTCGAACACCCTTAATACCCCGTTGGCACCGCCAGCGACGAATCCCTTGGTGAAGGCGGCCAGGATGCAGATAGCCTCGACTGTGGGGGTCCCTAGCGCGCACCGAAACTCCAAGGTTTCGAAAAGGTACAAATCGCCTTGATCTGTTGATACCACGACCTGTTTCGGGCACATCGAGATTGCATGTTTATGGTGTTGACGTTGTCAAAGTTGGTTTTACATCAAATCGTCCATACCCCGTGGTGAAGTGGTATGAGAGCCACCACGAGCAGACTTTGTTATTCTCCACCAACACGGGAGTTGTCAACGAAACAAATATCAAGGGGATCTGCAAAGAGTTTGCGTGTACCACTTTGCCTAAAAAGCTGATGACGGACTGGCCAACTTTCCCCACCTGATCGTCCGCAAGCCAACAATGTGCCGTGTACACCTGTAGCTCCATCTTTAGACTCAGCGGTAGAGGCTTGAACTGAGCGTCAACCACACGGAAAAATCGTAGAATTTTATCCCCGGTAACGCAAACCACGGCGGGATCTGAAGGACAGAAGTCCGCTTGATTCACTGCCGGGGCCGGGTCACCGTTTGCTCCTGGGCTAGAGATCTTGACCGAGCAGATGACTTTCGCCGCCTGCCGAGGTGTAGTGTAGCAGTCACCCCACGCATTGTGACGCCGAGGTTTCTTCGAAAGAGCAATGCGTGTTCCGATTGTTATTGCTGCCTCTCGTTACGGCTAACGTTTTCTGGTTGAGCTGGACTGGTCCGTGTGTGGGATACCGCATCGGAATAACCTGTTGGGACCTCTGGCCACTCCGTTCATCTTGTAGCAACTACTCGCACCAACTTGTGGAACGGTGTGACACCTCTTCAGCAGTGTTGCACTCTCATGTAGTCTAACAATCCACCTTCTCAGCCGTCCACAGCACCAACTTCCACTCCGGCGCGCCTCCCTGGGTCAGGCAAAGTCTGCCGTCTGCCGAAAACGCCACGGAAACAATATTCGGAGAGCCCATTTCGGGCCAGGAGAGCATCTTGCGACGCCTCAGATTGACCACATCGTAGATGTTAACGGTGGGGCAGCCCTTTTCCGTCATTGCCGACTCCGCCACCGCAAGGAGACGGCGGTTTGTTGTGAGCGCCAGAGCTGTAATGCCTGCCGAAGCGGTCCCGCTTATTAACTGTGACAACGGGACGTTGATGAGTGGCAACAGCATGCGATGGGCAGGTGGTGGTCAGGCTACAAGCGCCACCCCGGTACCACCACCGTTCGTGGTACTGATGCCGAGGACGTGATGCTGACATTTTAGACGTATCAATCGTTGGACCAGCGGACATTGGAAGGTACTGAGCGGAGACCAGAACGGTTTTTAATGCGAAGACAACAACAACAACAACAACAACAACAACAACAACAACAACAACAACAACAACAATAACAACAACAACAAAAACATATCTCTAGGACGTGTTTCTGGTGCGCATCAGAATTTCAGAACACAAGTAAGAAATGTCGATATTGATTGTCCTGCCATTAGGCCCTCGAAGCAGCATGTAGGCTAATGCTGTATTTGGAACCTACAAATTCTGTGGAGGACACCCGCTCCGGCAACGGCGACTTTGTCGTTTCCAACCCGTTTAGCTTGTACAATGTGCGTGGCAACACTGCCGTGCCGTTGATTGAGGTAAATCGTACATCTCCCCATTTGATATCTATTGGCAGTCAGTATACCGGTTGTAAGGCGAAGAAACAAGAAACAATGGCGCGCGGCAGACGTACGTACACCTGGTGCATATCCTATTTCTCCAGGCCATGGGGTTTCGATATGGACGGTCTGTGTGGTCTTCACCGAACACGGACAGCACCCACGGCGTGCGCAATGTGTACAATAATTCGATTGCCATTCTCACCTGCTGCGCACGTGATTCGACGTGGAGGAAGACAACACTATGGCCGCAAGGGTACACCACCAAGTGTTCATCGACAAAGTGGACGTTGCTCTTCACGTCGGTCTTGAGGCCAAACAGGTGCCCGTGACTCAACACATCCCCGGTACGCGCGTCCGGGGCTGCCATCGTGAAGGTGTGTGGCTCCGAGGAGGGGAGTGGTCCACCACAGCAACAGTCGATATTATTCACGGGGAAGTTGGTGACGTTGGTGACGAGATTAGCCGCGCCATCACTTTGGATCTACGCTCATGTCGAGCGGCCGACGCGAGGCGGACAGTTTCAGGAGCTCCGCAACATCCATCCTGCTTTTTACAGGAACGGGGGTAGGCATTGTCGAAAATGAAAAATAGCGAGGGGTGGGGTGTAAAATTGAGAAAAAATGGCCGTTGCCCCTTTTCTCTCGGGGAACCTTGCTTGCACGGGACGGCAAAGCTCGGAGAGCTAGGGCCCTCGTCGTGGGTGGTGGAGAGCAACGCCAGGGAAGGGGGAGTGGGAAGGAATCCGACCTTCGTCCGCGATCTGTGGCTGGAAAACTGCCCGGAGACTGCCCTAAGGGAGCCAAGGTGTGTGTGCAGGATTTTTGAACGAGCAAACGGTCGGCGGATCGATTTGCGACCACGCGACAACCAACATCGCTGGTCGACAACGTGCGTTGGGGGAGCTTGTTGCGCACCAGGTTGGTCCCACGGAGAGGTGTTGGTGAAAACATCAACCTCCAAGCAATCGAGTTTGAACGGAAAAACATACCAACCGTGGTTGAAACAGCACCTGCAACGTGTTTGCGGATTGATTTTCGAGGTCATACACACATGCGGCACCCGAATAACCGATGACCTCGGCCGGTCCCAATGATCCAAAACGGGGTAGGGCAGAGAAATCAGCGCTCCGTACCCCGTCATCCAGGTGCACAGAAAGTTCTGTTGGTATTTCTGCTGCAGATATGCTGCCTGTATCCTTTCCCATGTATTTTGCGCGTACGAAGCTACCCTCTGCGCGCAAGTCTGTGTAGCAGACGAACTGACCTGGGGGTCGGCGTGTACAACACACAAAACACAAACGATTATGTAACGATTCCCCAAAAGGCGAACCCAACGAAATGGGGACGCTCGGGGTTCTTTCGTCTTTGTTTGTCCAACGAAGCATCATTCATGTCGTGGCACTTAACCGGTAGTCAGGGTCCAGAAAAGGCGTCGCTCCACGCCCTTTCCTTACACAGAGTTAACGCAACGTCCAGCAGGAACCGGTGATGACGCCGAATACCCCCCCCCCCCAACAGAGCGTTTTTGTCCGCCTTCGGTTGTTGTTGTTGTTGTTGTCTTCACATTAAAAAACGGTCCGGTCTCCGCTCTATACCTAATGTCCATAATGGTCCAACTGACGCGCATGCCTTCCGGTTCTATGAACAAAAACACTATCCCTGCTGTCGCGGCACTTACTGCTGTGTAGTGGGTACAGTACATTAGTCAAGGCCAAGAAAGGCTGTTGCTCCACGCCCGTTCCCATGGGTACATACACAGCAGTCACAAACACATTCCGCCGATTGCCACCGCCTATCGTGCGACTCAGGATGGTGCTGCTTCTGCTGCCACCGAAGACACATCCAAGAAGTGGCACCCACCTAGACACATTCTTAGGCTTGATTTGTCCAAATTAAGAGGTTGCCAATGCCGCCAATGCCGATTTTGGAACTATCTCGTTGAGAGCTTTCACCAGTTTCTCTAGATATAATGATTGGTCGGTTTTCGCAACCGCGGTACTGTACAGTAGTGTAGAGCCATCATGAGCATATCGTTCAAGAGGGGTGCGCCTCCGAAGATCGGGTATCTTCATTAATGTCTTGGTGCAGCCGTATCACCCCGACATGACAGAAAACATCGGGCATCAATTACGGATATGCCACTAAGAGTATCCGACGGTGGATCCGGCTGAGTTGCCACTGGCTGGGTTCCTGGGCTCAAAATTGTACATCCTCCCTGACGCAGAACAAGTGTCGTAAATCTAATCCATCATCAGCAGCTCCTGTCGGCTGCAGCTTGGTTTCATATGCTTGCATCACCTGTTTGCCATCAAAAGTAGAACCGCCCTGTATGAGCGCCCTGACAACAACGTCCATTGGTCAGTTGCGACCTCCAGATACACTCGTCTCTACCATTCCGGCCAGCAGAGTTAAACACATCCATACCCGCCCACGTCTCTTGAGTTGCAAACGATCTACAGACCGGATTATCAGGGTCCTTGCTGATTACACCCACCACATGCTGTCCTGTACAGTAGTCCAACCTCCTGGCATGTACGCAAAGGCCGTTTTTTTTTTTCTCTGGGTCATGCCTCTTAATACAGGATGTGATACGTAAGACGGCAATTGCGTAGTTCAATTCAACACCACCTAACTACTTCGGCAACGCGTAAGTTTTCGACCTGATGGAGATGCCTCATGCAATCGCTATGGAACATCTATCTCTACACATGTGCCGCACGTTTGGCCTCTACCACTGCTTTTGACACCCATCGTCTTGGTGGTTCTTTGGCAGATTTGATTTTGCCACCGACGAGCCAGTGGCACTTGATCAAGGAGAGTCAACGCGGAACCTCTCGCACAAGAGAAGAAGCGGATTTGAAATGAGCAGCTCAGCGGACAGTGACCGCGAGGAGCGGTTCAAGCACATCTTGCAGCCGATCAGGTGGGGACGTAGCCTTTCCCGAATGATCTTGCAACCGCTAGCGCTTCTCCTGCTTCTCTGCGGTGCACACAACATGTCGCCGTCGTAAGTATGCGGGTGATGGAGTGTTGGGCACGAGTTGGCATGCTACACGTTAGGAGAATACTGGTGGCCGAACAACGCCACTGATTGTCAAGTCATCTTGGAGTAACCTCGAGTACACCCGAAACCTAACCAGGGACTTGGCCCAGAACTGGGATGTGGACATCGCAACGAGTCTTGAGGATTACTTGGAGGACCTGGAACACATCACCATCACCTTGGATGGCGGTGCTTCCAAGGTTAACTTCGCAGAAGCGGCCCTGCTGATTCAGGTATGGCTTGCTGTGAGCACGACGGTCAGGACTGGGCGCCATCGAAGAGCTATCAACTCGCTGTGTAGTTGCGCCCCTTGCGATACTCTGCAGCGAGAGATGCTTCGTTTTTTCTCGCTGGCAGTGCGAGGCCTCAACCAGTCCCTCACGTCTCGGCCGATTTATTGCGACGTCCATACAGGTCCCGCATCAGTACATATGTACATAGTGCGTCCACGTCCGTCTCAAACACGCGCTTTTTGCCTGTGTCGGTGGCCTTGCATGTTTCGTGCGTGTGCAGGGGTCGACTTGCGTGTACAGCCGCAAGGTGGAGCACGTGTACCAGCTGGTGCAGAGGACGATAGACTTCCTGACCCAGCAGAAGCAGCAGAACAACAACAACGCCGCCAAGAGCAAGAGCGGCGACGGAGATGTCGGCGACGACAGCATTATGGGAGGAGATGTGCGTACTGTGTATGTCGAGATGCTGTTGTTACGGCGGCGTTGAGTGCGACACGGTGCAAGATGGAACCTAGGCCGAGTACAACAACGGTGGGGCGAGCCATGACTTCGGAGTGTGGCATCGGAGCGTGGATGCCCGACATTTTAGAGCGTGTGTTGTCTTCAAGAGTCCTGTTCGAATCGTCGATATACATTGTCGATCAGTAATTCACTCTCACCAACGTTGTAGCTCCGTGTTTGCTTCCCGAACCCCTATCGCAACCAGCAACGCGTAGAAACTCTTAACGTTGAACGTCTCCGGTCCTCTATCAGTGCCTCTTCGCGTGCATGCCTGCAAAACTTGTGTAATGCGGTGCATGCCTGACCACGTTTTTCAGGAGACGGCCTTTCTTCCTCTGGATGACATCATCCTCGAGGGGAAGCACATTGACATCGGATCTACTTCTAGCAGATCGAGGAACCGGCGCCGCTCTTCCATCGCCCCTAGTAGCGGCTTCCACGGTCGCGGCCATGGTCAAGGCGAGGACGGGGGAGCCGGCGGCGGTTTGCCGGGGGGTGGGGACGTGCCGGATATCACCCGCCCGCCGATGTTTCTCATGGAGCAGGACTATGGAAATTCGTTCAAGATGAGCACCTGTGCTCCGCAGCAGCTGGTAGGTCAACGTACTTGGCAAGCGGTGGTCAGCCATCATACACGCACCGCTTCGTGCTCCTGTTTTCTCGACTTGTACAGCGGAGGCGTTTGTGTGAAACGTTGACATTCGGTTGAATTTTGCCAAAAGATCGTATGGCATTGGTAAATAATGTGCTCGGGATATGTTGCTGCCGTTTTGAAGCAGAAGGGCCGCGGCATCGGAGCCCGTCGCAATACCCAGGCGGGACCCACCCCTCAGGACACTAAACCAGTGTCCTGTTGCGCCCCACGTTCTTCCTGCCCGCTCCCTTCTTTTTGCCGCTAAACAAACACCCTCTTATTGTCTCCATCTATGCGGTCGAGACCAGTCCGGCACGCTCCTGATAGAAGGCGGTGCGCTGGACGACTCGCTTTTTGCTCAAGGCGATGCCGAGACGAGTGAAGCAGCAAGGGCGTGCGACTTTTGGCGAGGTTTGGGCCGGGAGGGGGACGGAGGGTTGAAGGCGCGGGCTGACGGGGAGAGATGGACGGGCTCTGGCATGGACATGGGCGGCGGCGATGACGGCGACGATTCTGATGGGGGCGGTGGAGGGTTTGATGGAGACTTTGGGCCGGGTGACGACTTCGATGACCCGAGAGATGACGTGAGGCACTCAGGGGGGGAATGGGAGCAGGGAGGTCGGCAACTTGCTCGAACACGGGTGGTCATAATTATGGGTATGCCCATTGGTCACAAGTAGATACATACATCCATTGGTCGCAAGCACTCACTATCTTTGTTTCCACCTCCATCCGTTTATTTTACCCGGCCGCAGATACTGAATGTACCCGCAACATCTCTGCCTCATGGGTGGCATGTTGATGCCCCTTTCCGCACAGACTTTGGGTATCTAGCGTGGTTTCATGGTGACACTGCGGTGGCGTGGGTGATGGGGATAGAATGTTTTGAACCATTTTCTTGGTGGAGATGGAGTTTCACCCACATCACCGCTGACTGCTGTCGCGTTCGGGATTGACGCGTTTTGACGTGCAGGTGCCAGTCGACGGCCCGCGGACACCCGAAGGTTCGGTGTCGGGAAGGCGGGAGCTGCGGCAACGCGAGTCGATCGAGAAGGAGGTGCTAAAGGCCGACAAGGCGGTAAGTTTGAGATGTGTGTCTACCATCACTGGTTGTCGACGCCATGGTCTTGCGTCTTGTGCGTCTCCAATGCCCCGGAGCAGGACGCTTCAGTAGTGACGCCGTTTCGTTGGCGTGCTTTGGCGCTTTGGGGGCGCTGGATTGTTGGCACGTGAAAATACTCCGAATCAAGATTGCGCTTGTGCAAAGCTCTTGTCTTTTGCGTGATCTATACACTGCTGTTCTACTACAGTGCTATTTACGACCGTTTTGGCGGTTTTTCTTTTCTTTTCTACGGTGTGTTGGGGTGCGAAAAGGCTCTTCATGCCCAGTAAGATGCAGATTTGCGACATTCCGTTCGTGTGTTCTGAATATGTTGTAGTTTCACGTGAGCATCGTGAGCACCTGGCTGTGCCTCAACTCGTCTTGTCACGCCTTCCGCGATCAATTCTGCTACTCTATTTTTGCATCAGCCGATCGACCCGTGGGCGGCGTTAGATCCGCATGATCCCGGAACGTCGCAGGCACGGCCTATCCGCAAGGGCAGGACGTACAAGATTCCCGCACAGGTCCGCAAGCGCCGCGGCGGGAAGAAAATCCAGGGGGAAGCCAAGGGGGGTGGAGAGGAGCAGAAGGGCGACGGCGGCAGCTGGGTTGGCCGTGACGGTAGAGTCATGTGAGATGCGGACGTATGCAGTATATCCGCCCTAAATATGCGGCTTAGGACAAACGTGGTTACTCGGTATTGCTGGCTCATATTGGCGTCGATAGTCGCTGAAGTCGACCGAATGAGCGACGTGTGTCTCGATATGGGTTGCTTTCGGGACGACGGGTGAATAGGGTACTGTAGTCTCCTTTCACCCCCCAACCCTCCTCGACTCGTCGATTGTGTAGGAACGACGTTGATTTCCCCCAGGAGTACTTGTTTTCTACTTTGTTGTATTTACCTCCGGATTGAATGTTTAACGTGAAGCCTCTCCGTGTTCAAGCATCACAACGCATGAGGGTGGTTACCTTGTGTGAGATGCGGAATACCTTTAGTCTGCGTTCGACCCTTCCAGTGCGTTGTGCTATGTGAAAGGCAAATGGGTGGCGATGTGGCGACACAGTGGGCATGATACGTAAGTTGTTGTTCACGTACGATCCCTTCCTTCTTGGGGACATTCTGCAATATTTGACACGTAAGGACAGAGGCCAGACATACTCAACAACCCAACGTTCCCGCAATGTTGCTGAAAGGAAGCCAAAGAATCCCTACGAACTCACTCACTGATATTTGGAATGATTCGTATGCATACAAGCCCTTATCCCCCGGAATGCTGGCTCCTAGGTCTTGTCCATCGTGATACATACCAGCGGACGAGCGATAAGCCCGCGCCTCTTGGTTTCTTGAACTTCCATCGACTACCCTAACCGACTGAACCGATGGGAATGGGTGTTTTTTTTTGTAGTCTCCACCTCTCGTGAATATTTACCCCAGGGGGATGGAGTGAGCCAATATTGTATAGATCCCCCGTGAGTCTGTATTGAACTTCCGGGGGGTGCCAGAGGATATGAGTTGAGTTTTTGGAACACCGGATTCGAGCTTATATGTTGTTCCACCTTTGTGCCGTTCGTTCACGTGGACGGCTTGGATCGATTGTATGGCTTGAGCAGGGCTAGGTCTCTCTTGCAGCAACTAAGTCGGTTTTGTGTCTTGAAACGTCCTTTGCATTACTCTGCTGTTGGGCAGCAGTCTACCTTCATGGGAGCGCGGTCACTTTGCCAAGACACGACTGACTGACTGCGTGTTTGTGTTTGTGCCGCATTCCTGCAACGTTGTGTCGCACATGCTTTCGCTTGCCTCGTTGCGACGGTACTCGTGCACTCGTGCAGGCTATCCGTACCCCTGCTCGGACTGGCCTACCCGGAGTTCCAATACGTGTGGAACAGGGAGCGCCAGCGGAAGGCTGCCCAAACCCGATTGGCCCGCCAACAAGCTCGCGGGTTTATGGGGGTAAGCATTTCACGTGTGTTTGTCCTCCTTTTGTTTCGGATCGTCGAACTGGGAACGTGTGTGAGAGGGGTGGCCGTTGTCCTTTGACTGACGAGCCTATGCTTTTTTTCTGGACTGCCTTTGGTCTGATGTGAGCTAAATACACGCCTCTATTCGCGGGACATTGGCAACCGGGAATGCTTTTTTCGTTTCCCTGGGTTCTTTTTGCCGCAGTCCTCTTCTGTTTGTAGAGCTCTCTATACACCCGCAACGTGCCCTCCCGATCCACCCCTAGTGCACTATACTAATGAGGAAACAGGTCTACTGTGTAGGAGACTAAATTACTTGGTAGCCACACCAAGCCAACAACGAAGAGGGATTGATACGCAAGGATTCCCGATGTAGGACAACCCAGATGTGTCAAGAGCGCGTGCGAGAGCGTTGGTGGTGTCCCGAAGAACAACATCTAATAGGATGGGTTGACGCGCGGCCAGTGGTGCCAAGTGCCCGAGACAATCAACAAACGAGCAAACCCCCGTTCGCCGCCGCCCCCCGCTTCCGTTCCCATCGTGCGAAATCAAATATTGTCGTTGGTGTTGGATTTAGCGGGAGGATTTCCTTCCCGAATCAGCACCGCCCGACTCCGCGGGTATGAATGACGTGGGCACCGACTATGACGGCTATGGGTCTGACGGATCCTACTGCAGCGATGGGGGAGGGGGCTACGCAGACTACGGCGACCAGAGCGACGGGGGTGGGGACATGGGTGGATACGGTGATGGTGGTGGTGAAGCCTATGGTGGGGGAGACGGAGAGGGTGATGCCGGTGTCGCGCCGATCTCCCTGGAAGATGCTTTCCGCAACAAGCCGCAGACGTACGAAGACCTATGTCGCAACCATATCGTGAGTGTCGTAACCATGCTGGATTATACGGCAATCTGGAGAGTAGATGTTGTGATGCACTGCAGTTAGTTCAAGCTCCCATGTGCGTCGTTCGATGGCATTGCCTGATTGATTTCCGCTGCCTACAACTAGATTATTGCTTGGAACTTTTGTTCTGTTCCGGATTGCAGCAGAATGGCGGGGGTACCCAGAACCGAACTCCAGAGGCTGCGGCGACTGTCTGTGTTCAAAGCGCACCGTTGTACGAGCACGAAAGAAGTATTGGCTCTCTCTGTGGTATTTGTGTGGCAGTAGTATGCTATGGTCGGGTAGGTCGTTGCAGGCCTGTGGTGATGCATCTCGTGTCGGTCTCGCAGCATCCTGGTGGCAGTTTCTAATACGACGGTCTGGTCGTGGCATTGACCCTCTTGCCGCTGGTCTATATCGAACGGCATTACGTGCTAGTCGTCCCTCCTTGACTTGCATTGGGCGGATGATGGACGCTGCGTGTGTTGGTGATGCCGATTGTCTGCACTAACAGGAGGCGTTTATGCGAGGGACGGAGAAGTACGCGCACGAGACGCAGCTGTCAAAAAGAGTCGGGGCGTGGCAGGAGAAGCTCGAGCCGCTCATGGAAAGGCAAGCTCGAGGGAAACGACGCTCTGCCGTTTGTACTGGACTGCTCGTCGATGTCCTTGTTGTTCAATCTCGAAGCTCTCCCTTCTCTTCAATGGCAAATACTTGTACGGTTTTTGTTAGTAACAATACCTACTACAGCCCCAACATAAGGGACACACACGCAAAAATATAAAAATATGACTCGAGTGAGTCCCAACATTTGCGAAGCAAATACCGCTATTATCATGTGGAACCACAACAAGCTCAGAGAGACGAAGAACTGCTGGAACAGATACTGTAAGGCCTGAGAGGGAAGCAGATCCCATCTTGGTGAGGCTCGTAATTGTTTCCGCAGCGACAACGGGGAGCTTGAGGTGGATTGCGTGCCATTGATGACCGTCCGCGACTGTTCGTGCCGCGCTTTGACCTTGACCAAACGTCCGTACAACACGGTACCAATGTTTTCAGCCAGGAGAAGAGGCAGGCGTTCGATATCCACGCTTACGGGCAGTCCGTCCTTTCGAGGGTGGCGTCGGTGTTAACTCCTGCCCAGAGGGCGAGAGCACACACGGCCGCCAAGGGAGTACACCCCAAGGTGCGGTGCGGTTATTGCCATGGTGCAATCATCGGTCGCCCCGGTAGTCTAGTTGGTATCCTCGAAAACCTTCTATAATAGTGGTAAGGGTCGGGGGTTCGAATCCCGGCGTAAGCGAGAGTTTCTTGCAAAGTGAGTAGAGTTTCTTGCAAAGTGAGTTTTTCTCTCGCTTCTGTTCCTGGCCTGGGTGGAAAACGCTAGTTCGTGTGTACACAGAGAGAGAAGAGAGTGCTGCACTCTTCTCGCATTAATAATCGAAGGCGAACCACCGCAGGAGGGGTGGGTAGGGGAGCTCAGTGGAAGGAACCCTTCTGTGTGACCACGGGTTAGAGTAAACGGCACAAGTGCTGTGTGACCACGGGTTGGAGTACACGGCACAAGTGCTGTGAGCGCTATTTTCAAGTGAAGACAAAAAAAAAATAGTACGGTTATTACCTTGTTTTCACCTTTGGGCTTGACCAGGTGGCAGGGGTGCATACATGTCTGCCTCGCGCTATCCACGTCTCTTTCTTGCCCTTCCCCGAACCGAATAGTCTACTTTTTTTAGCCATGGGCCGTATGCCCCTGCGTGTCCTGCCGGTCGAAACAAAACTAACGCTTTCAACTAAGAAAACAGAGACCAGTACTGAACACTTAAGGGCTCCGCCGTGCGAAAGAGCTGAGCCACCCCGGGATTTATATCACCGTGATGTTTCGTTACTGCATGTTTTTTTTTCTTAGGTGGCGGACGACGCCGCAGCAAGTCCGGAGGAAGCTGTGCAGGCCGACACCGCTGAGCCTGACGTTCCTTTGGTCGACTTCGGCACGGTAGTGGCCGGGAAGGAGCGCTTCGACGTATGCCGGCTCTTCCTAGCGTCCCTTCAGCTGGTGAGAGAGGGGTCATTGATAGCTGACGCGTAGAAGCGCCGCATTCTGAATCGCTAGAATGTCTGCTGCCTACCCGTGAGGGCGGAGGAGTATTAGTATTCGCTATACATGATGTATGGTCGTTTGAGACTGCCGTATCTGACCTGTACCCATCAATCGTGCGTGCGTCGGTGCAAGGAATGAGCTCGATACCTATCTATCAACGAATACGTCGAATCACTCTGCTTGCTACTCCCACAGCTTCTCAATCCCCTTTGTCGCATCCATCCCCCGTGCTCCCGATTTCGTGCGTACTTTTCCCCGCCGGTCGTGGCCACCTCGACGGCATCCTGGCGCACCTTTTGGCGCATCCACCCTTGATTGATGATGCTTCCACGGGGGTGATGTTTGCCCTTGGTGGCACGACGGGGAACACCCACCAGGCGAACAATGGAAACGTCCGTCTCTTCCATGGGGACAACGCTGCCGACCAAGAGACAACTCCCTTCCGGCTCGAGCTACTCACGCTGCAAAACTCCGACAACATGAGTGGGTATTTCGCGCCATCCGCTTCCGCAGCCGGCACCGGACCCGAGAACGTTCCGGCGAATGGCACGACGAAGAAGGGCACCAAGAACGGCGCTAGGAAGGGCGCAGAGGCGAAGACCAAGACGGGGGGCAGAAGAGGAGGTCGGGGTGGTATTGTGGGGACGAAAGAAACGCCGAGCATGATCCAGGCGGCCGTATGATGAAGGGACAAGGGGGAAATGGCGGAGCTGTAATTTTTTGTGGGTGTTTTGGGCGCGGTGTTGATTTTTTTTTCATACCATGCACAGCAGCAGTCGAGTGTCTATCGATTTGTATTTTTGTACAAAATCATAACATCGGTTTTGTGAGAGTCATTTAGGATGCATGGGACACGGGTACGCAGCCTGGAAGGGGTCCCTGCAGATGGTGCGTGGGGGGGGGCAGAGGTAAGAAGACAAGAGGGACGGCCTTGGCGAGCAATTTAATTTATCAGGAAATAGAACAGGGAGACGAAGAAGGCTTGCAGGGGTCGGAAGGGGGGGGGGGGGAGGTAGCTGTTAGAAAAGGGTCGCACACGTTTGCGGTGCGTTCGCAACAAACGAGCGTGAAGACCCACACATTAAGCTTCCGACACCGCGATATTGTAGGCAGGCGGCGCGTCTAGAACGAAAGTCGGGGGGGTGGGGGAGGTTCGTCGCGTGGTGTGTGTCTACGTGATACCGTGCAGGTATTACACAAGGGCACGACGTGTAAGTAGAAGTAGCAGGGAAAACCAATCAGAACTGAACAGCAGTCTTGCCTCAAGGTTGTACAGCGCAACCGGCAGCCTGACACGTTTTGATGGCAGCGGCAGTTCGCCATCCAAGATGTTGGAACGCAAATATGTAGTTTCTTACGGTTTGGTGTATGTCGACCACATGGCGAAGAGCGGAAATGGTGGGCCAAACGTCCGTGAAGTTGTTGTGTTGAATATTTTTTCAGTGCTTTCTTTTCCTAAATACTTCCATTTTCTGTCTCGGGATACATGAGATGTTGCACCAGGTATCGTGCCATGGGCGCAGCACGTAACGTGTAAAGTATCTATCATGCTCCCGCCGCCGTCGTTGTCCTCGGTTTTTTGTTCGGCTTTTTCGATTATGGTCTCGTTGTTTCTTTTTCTTCTGTCCTGCTGCTGTTTTCCTTGCCAGTCACGTCGCCTGTGCGCTGCTGCAGGTAGGTGCGGGGAACATCCGATAGAGGCAGATAGGCAATGGGGTGAGTCCGCCGTGAGGCTGGTCAGAGAGAATAAACCAGCCGGTCCCATTAAATCTACGTGTGTATCTACCTGTGTGCCACTCTTTACTTGGCGCGCGTTTGCCGGGAACACATTTGGTTCTTGCCCGGTCGTGAAGCGCGTGCATTTACGCTGGATTAAGCCCATGAGTCGACCTTGGATGTGTTCATCGTCTAGCATCTGACCCATTATGATGTTATACACACGTGTCCAAGACACAACGAGATAGATTTAGGCAGCAAAGCATTTAACGCTGTTGTGTATATGAGATTCCTCACTGCTACATTATCCTGTTGAACCTTTTCATAGTCTATACGCTGTCTCCGAAAAGTGTGCCAGAGGCTGGGAGGAGTTTTTCTAGATCGAGAAAATACACGAGGACGCATGGACGGATGGATTTCATTGCGCCTTGTGGCACTCCATCATCCTTCCGTCTACTTCGACATGGCCCATTATCAACGCGGGCGGGCCTGGTCTTTCCTTAGGTTGTGGATAAAGATATCACCCCCCCCCCCTCCCTCTTGACCAAATTTCAAACCCTGACTTCTCCACGACGAAGGAGATGCCACACCTGTGAAACAGTCCATTTTCGGAAAGGTCTCGACGAGGTGGTCCCAACGCCACCATGTTCGACCCCGTTCGCGCTATTGATGCTGAGCCATCGAGCTCTGAACAGTCGGGTGTGGTATGTTGGCAACCTACAAACTACAGCCGTCTACATGCGCACGCGGGTAAACTCAATGACTCGATGATCCATGTGGTTGATGGATGAAACTGCCTTCAATGAACGGTGGGATCCATGTGGTTAATGGATGAAACTGCAAGCAGTGAACGGTGGGGAAAAAATGCCAAACAGAGGTGAGCGCGCAGTTCAACGCTATGTGCGAAGCACAGCAGCTGCCGGTCCCTTCTATCACCCCCACAGCAGTAGTATCGCTGCTGGGTGCCTGTTCGATTTTTTCTCTCTTCCCATCGCAGCAAGGTGCGTGGCGAGAAATTTCTGGTTCTCCAGATATTTCTTTGGGCTTGTTGGGAACGGGGAGGAACATCGGGAGTTACGCATCACAACACACGCAACACGTGGGTACAGGTTTTGGCGTCTGTCAAACAACAGGATTCACGCAGACAGCCGAGGCGGGAAGAGGGGCGAGGTGAGCACCGTGCGTAGCACTCGTTTTCAATTCCCTCTCTGTGGCAATCAATGGTTGGTTTCTGACCAAAGACATGATTGCTGAACACGAACCAAACCCCGTTCTTGCGCATGCAGCAAAGCACAGCTTACGCGGGGCGAGCCGTTGCGGGGTTGTGTTTATTTATGTGTGAGAGTGCCTCCTCCGAGATTCCTGATGCCTGATGCCTATCACAGCAGTAGTACACGTCTGCTGTCCTGTGCTTGTTGTGCACTACTCAAAGGTTTTCAAGTGTGCAAGCGCTGAGCGTTGAGGGGATTCATCGCACCCAAAGGTTAATTGAGGTTGGTCGCACGACAACTGCGAGAAAACTTCGGCGTGTCTCTTGCGCAAGTTGGCGCTTGCACTGACTGCGGGATCAGGGAGAGGCACCCCGATCCCAAAAGGTCTGCGATTGCAACGAATTGTTTTCCGAATTGTTTTCCGGTTGGCAGCTCAAGTGTCGCCGCTCTGATTGAGTTCGCACGCAGCTTTATGTAGCCCAAGGTTTGCGGTATTTCCGCGCAGTCTATGATGGGAAGCACCGTGCGCGCTGTCAGCTCTTCCGAAAACCAACGAGCTTATTTGGCAGAGTGTGGACCAGGACCCCTGATTACCTTGAAAGTACACTGTTGTAGTAGGAGCTTTCATCACATCCTACACACGAGCACAGAAGGGTATCCACATCGTGACAATTACTCGAAAGGTAGCGCGGATGGTGCTCATCTCCTTTCCACGTAACTCCACAGCCGAATAACAGTCAGCAAGCTGGCTACACTCACACATCTCCCTTCGTAGAGTTCCCCCCCCGCTCTCTGAAGTATCTGTGTCAGTAGTTACAAACCGGACACATGGCAACTGTGTCTGGCCCTGTCGATAGTTTTGTGATGCTCTGCCGTCTTCAACCCGTGATTATAGGGAGTGGGTTTCGAGCACGCATGCTGTTGGACATTTCATCCTTCCTTGACACGTGTTGACACGAGTTGAAAGTAGCATTCTTGATCTTGAGTTGCACACCTGGACATTTACGGATGCATAGGCTGGACCAACGTCGCAGAGGATGTAGATGCAATGTTTAGGCACTGTTAGTTGTTTGAGCTTGGCATGAGCGCTGTTTGAAAACAACATTTTCCGTAGGACATTCCCAATACTCGGTCAGCGACCTGGACCTGGAGAAGTCCCCAGACTTGGTGCCGAACATGCAGAAGCTCTGTAGTTTTTCGAAGATTCAACAGCAGTACAAGTACAAGAGCGCACGACATGCACCATGATATGCGTGTAGGACTTGTACTTTATGCATGACATACAAAAGTTGCACGTCGATGCTTCCATGTCCGTCCGTCCAACGTTACCATGGCAAACAATGCAACAGTGCTTGCGCGTGTTCCTCTCGACACGTGCAGGCAGCAGGTTTGGCGGCTGTGCTGGTGATGTCGGCAGCATTTCCTGAGTTCGACGAGGTGTGGCGTTGGGACGGATGGACAACTCTTGATGAGCATACCAATGATGGTGCGGTGGACTTGGACGGCAATGTCGTGCTCGTGGGGTCACAAGGCTACGCGGCCGCAGAAGACCTTCTCGATGACACTTTCGTAGATGCCTATTCCGGAGATTTTGCCGCCGTCAAGTTGGAGGGCGCGTCAGGCGAAGTGCTGTGGACTTGGACAGCTTCCTCTTTGGGGAGCGAAGCGGATATGTTTCTCGCAGTGGACACTGACAGCAACAACGATATCGTCATGGGAGGTCGGACGGAGGGGTACTGGTCATCGTCCAACCCCGACAGTGTCGCACATATAGCGGTCGTGAAGCTTGATGGGGGTACGGGGGATGAGATATGGAGGTACCAAGAACACCCTCCGGACTCGTACACGTCTTTGGGAAGTTATTTTTATTACGGTTACGGCAGCGTGAGCGGTGTGGCTGTCGACGGCGACGATAATTGCCTTTTGGTGGGCCAAACCTATGGCAGCCTGGTCTACGGCGAGGGTGACCCTGGAGATTCTGATTTCTTCGTCATCAAGCTAGACGGGACGGACGGTAGCGAGATCTGGACAGTACAAGGCGGAGAGTCGGCGAGCTTTGATTCATTGCACCACGTAAAGGTGGACTCGGGCGGAGATCTGATCGTCGTCGGCATAGGTGGAGACGAAGACGCGGTGAATGTTGTCGTGGTGAAGTTCAGCGGCACCGACGGCGCGGTTCTCTGGGAATATTCACCTGTCACGTCGTCCACTCATGATGTTCCCGCGTCGGTCGACGTTGACACCCAGGACGATGTGTATATTGCTGGCGGCTACGATGCCCTGAATCTGCAGGGCACTCTAGCAGAAACTCCGGTGGTGCTGAAGCTAGACGGGGCGACAGGCGATGTCGTGTGGACCTACGAGGGCGTAGCCACATCGAGCGCTGGGTTCCGATCCGTAGCCGTGGATCTCACCACGGGGTGGGTTGTGGGTGCTGGCTGGACGACGGGGACCTGGTTGACGGGTGCAGCTCAAGGCGGCTATGACTTCGCGGCGGTGGTGCTAGATGGGGTCACTGGAGATGAACTAGGGCGCTACCAGGATGGTACCACCGATGACGACAGTCTTAAGTTCGTTGGATTTGATTCTGTTGGGGGCTTAATCTTGGGGGGATCCTGGACGGACACCGGCGAAGCTGAGTTCGTCGCGATCAAATTTGCACCCTTCGAACTTGTAGCGCCTACACCGGCCCCTACCCTCCCTCCAACGCTCGCGCCAACGCTCGCCCGAACACCCGCGCCAACGGTCGCTCCAGTCACCTTGGCTCCCATGACGACTCCTTCCCCTCTAGCCATATCGGCGGATGCGGGCGATCCAACACCTGCTCCGTTTCAGTTGAACCAACCACCCCAAACCACCGAGTCTCCAGTCGGCCGTGGCTTAACGACACCGGCCCCGACAACTTCGGCGGCTGCTGCAGCAGTGCTCTCCGAGTGGGAGATTGCGGCCATCGCAGGCGGGGGGTCGTTCCTCCTTCTACTCCTCGGGCTCTGTGAGTGCCGATAGCTGGCGAGGTCGATGGAGCGTGTCCGTTTTACCTTCGTTGCCGTACCGATTGAGCACAACGGTGATGCGTTAACGTCTGCCTTATGAGGCCGATTCCTTTTCCTTGTGTAGACCGAGCCTCTTGTCTCCTGATCCCGCCTGGTACTGGTCGTTTTGGAGGCTGTCGGGCGAGGTTCTTGGAGGACAGACAACACCATCATCCATGTTTGTTTTGTTGGCGGGTACCGCGTGAAAGGCCGTTTCGATCACTGCGTTCTTCGACGTGTTGTATCCTAACCGCACCTCAGGCCTTTTCTGCTTCAGACGCAAGCGCCCTGAAGGTCAGCAAGGTGCAGCCAAAGGTGCGTGCGTCGAACTAGCCAGCACCGGTAGGCCTTGGTGTCGGTTCAGGGCTTCCCCGGAGTCAGAGCAGCGAACTGGCGAAGCGGCGCTTGTTCATACCCTCAGTGCGATGCCCCAGTCATGCATGCAACCTCTGTCATGCGATCACCTTCCTCTCAGCAGGTGCATCGCGACCTCTTCCAGTGGAAGGTTTCGGCGGTTTGAGTGTGCAAGGCGAAATTCTTCAACCTCGACCGCCAGTCAAAGGTGGGAACGGCCTGTCGCTCTCATTTGGGCCTGCGGAGCACTCGGCATTATCTATTGTTTTGTGGTGTCAATTGATGTCAGATTGGCAATATGTGGGACACCGTTCATGGTTCTGACGGCAGAAAGCACACGTGCTAGCTCCGTCGGTCGCTTTCGGCGGTGTACGTGTACTCTTAGTTTCGCCCTCGATGCAGAAACTGAGGTATCATTCTCTATCGTGACCCAGCGTGTTCGGGGGCTACTTGGAGCTGGTGTCTAGCGCAACCCTCACGTTCATGCAACGGCCTTGGCAATTGCAGGAACCACCTTAGCACTAGCACTTCGCCACGCTGGGATACCCAGCCGTTGTTGCACACATGCACCCACTCGTTTGCCAAAACAAAACCCTTAATCGCTTGTCAGAGGCATCACTTCACACCGTCCCCATTCGCTGTATCGACCAACCGCAGCGAGCGGAGTGGCAGAGTTTGCACCTCCTGCACCTCCTGCTCCAAAGACACCCCTGCCCCCACCGGCAGAACCCCCTCTCCCGCCACCACCGGCCTACAACTCGCCACCCCTTCCACCGCCTGAAGGTCAGAGCTGTTCGGCGATCAGGCACGGTTAATTTACGGCGTGCAATTTAGGAGGAATTATGCCGAAAAATCGGACAGTGTGCGGCGGGTCCGCTGTTGTTCTGTCGACTTGGCTGGGCAGTGACACTTTGATCGTGCCTGCCCTGAACCATCTTGCTGACAACATCTGAGTGAAGCAGGTGTTCATTCCGTAGATCAAGAACTTTCACCGCCATGGGATGTCCGTCGAGTTGAACGCCGTTTTGTTTGAAACCCCACGCAGTTGTTGCCACCGAGACCGAGGAGGTTCCGCCACCGCCACCCTACGAGGAGATGAATGCCCCGGAGCCTGCGGCAGCCCCGGCTGAAGCACCATGGGAACGACTAGGTGTGTTTTGCAGTCAAGCCTTCGACGAGCATGGTTTCGCGCCACCAACGTCGAGAATCCGGCACGTGTTGTATTTTTGGTCTCCTTGTTGATGAGCTGGTGTCATGACGAGGCTTGAGACCTCGATCTCATTGAATAGTCTCGAGTTCGTTGATAACCCTGTTTGCCCACTTCGTTTTTCGTCGGATGCTCCGCGGTCGTTTTTTGGGCATGATTGTAACCATGCGGACGTGCATGCGGGTAGAATACTTTTTTGAAAACACTGTCACCCGAACAGGCGAAAGAGGCACGAGGCAAGCAGTGACACCGTTACACCTACGGTTGAAGCGTTGATGGTGTCGAGTTGAAAGACAATTTCGTTTTTCCACTCTGCTTCAACTTCTGACATCGAACACGATGCGTTTCTGCCTCTTCGCCTTGTACTGTCCTGCACAGCCAAGCGAGTGGCCCGCGTCCCCAGCAAGAAAGCGTTCGAACAGAACTACCGAAACATTTCGGTCAGCCAGTACGCACCGTACGCACCGTCTACAACCAACCGGTAGTCTAGACCGCTTTTTCGTGGAGGCTTTGTTGTGCACCGCTACCTGGATATTCCGTTCGGCACGAGGGTTGTAGTTATAGAGTTCAGTACCGGTTGCCCTCATGATGATCTTGAAATCAGGCTCAGCCTGGGTTTTCCCATTGTATACCCCCCCCGGTCGCCCCGGTGGTCTAGTTGGTATCCTTGAAACCATTTAGAGGTCAGGTCAGGGGTTCGAATCCCGGGGTAAGCGAGCTTTTCTTGCAAAGCAAGTTTTTCTCTCGCTTCCGCTCCTGGCCTAGTGGATAGCGCTAGTTCGTGTGTACACAGAGGGAAGAGAGTGCTGAACTCTTATCGAAGGCAAAGTACCGTAGGAGGGAAGGGTAGAGAGGGGCTCTTCTGTGTGACCACGGGTTGGAGTAAACGGCACTAGTGCTGTGAGCGCTGATTTGAAGTGAAGACAAAAATAAAAATAAAAATACCAGTTTAGTGTCGGCTTCCATGCTGAGGCTCGATATTTTCTTGTTTGGTTCCAGGCCCTTAGCTTGATTTTCTCAGCATCCACATATGAGCTGGCCTGTAATGTACAAGATCGGTAGGATGGTTGCCATGCTGAGGTGATGAGGAATAACAACATGCGATACGGGACAGCCAAAGTGTACAGTAGGATAAAAGACTGAGAGACCACCGAGTCGGGGGTGGGGGATGCGGGCGGGGGCAAGGGAGAAGAAGCGTCGAAGGACCTCGTTGGAGGAGACGACTGTCGTTGCGGAGAGCAGGACGGAGTGAATGCGAGACATGTACCGGACTGAATATGATGGAGGCGGACTGGAATATTAGTCAAAGACCTCTCGCTTGTGCTTCTTCGCTATGCCCCCCGCCTGGTCATTACCCCCGAGGTGTAATAATGTCGTTATCCTAATTATCTTGTGTTTTGTAAATTTTGGTTGTCCCGGCGTGGAGTGATCTTAGAACTACCCACGTTTTCGTTTGCGTGTACGTGTGGGGAACGGCTTGGCCGGTGTAACCCCGGCGGTTAACACAGCCCGCCCTAGGAGGGGGAATCAGGCGATTTATGTGATGTTTCACACGTCGTGAACTTGTGGTTTAATGAGCATGATGAGCGACGGGCTCTCTTTCTTTATTATTGGATGAGGCCATTCGTTCTAGTTTTCTTATTCCCAGTTCGCCTTTCCGGTTGTCATCGTGTTATTTTGATCTGCTATCATCGTGTTTGAGGTTTTTCGGGGTCTAATTATTTGTGTTTCCGTTTGGTTCTCAATAATATTAAAGTGAATGTGTACCCTTTTTGTTGTAGTTGGCCTGTGACCATGGAAGGCGTCCGCGTCAGCTGGACCGGTACTGGGCAGAAATCGGAACGGGTTTTGTGAAGAACACGACGACAACAACAACACTACTGCTGTTGTCTTTGGAACTACTATGTATCTATGTGCAACGCATACACAGCAGGCTATCGCGAGAACAGAAATATATAATAAGTAAGTGTTGTTCTTCGCAAAACTTCATTCACCACATTCGCCTCAAGCAATGCTACAGTTTCAGTTCTATCCGCGGATGTTAGATAGCTACCTACAAATCTACCGAGAGAGATGAAACATCTCACGCTGATTTGTGCCCGCACTGCTGTTGCCTTCTCGTTCGATCTTTCCAACGTACGCACAACTGCAGCGGACTACGATAAAATACTGCGAGTGACAGATAGCAGCACACAGAGACCGGAGAAGAAACGTTTGTGTGAGTCATTTGTAAGCAGCAGGAAAAATAGCGGTCCACCAGAGTCCACATGGTTGTTAGTATATAGAAGAAGTAATAGATTTGACGGTGATAACGAAATGACAAACAACGGTAGGCACGCTGTTCAATATGGTGTGTGCGAAGCACAGCCGCCAGTACCAAACAATCACCATTTATTTCCCCGTGACGAGAGTTCCGTGTGTTTGGCTTTTTTTTCATGCAGGGGCGGGGAGAGAGAAATTTCTTTTTCTCCAGATGGTTCTTGGCTTGTGGGTTCAGTTTGTGGTGTGTGGGGAGAGAGGAGTCACATGCATGTGTGCATACATGTGCAACTGTTGCTCCTCGCCGCGTAGCAAACAACAGCATTCGCCAAGACAGCCGAGGAGGAAAGAGGGGCGAGGTGAGCACCGTGCGTAGCACTCACTTTCAGTGCCCTCTCTGTTGCAATCGAAGGGTGTGGTCCCTGACAAAGAGATAATCGCTGAACCTGCAGCCATCGATCGCGTCCATAGGCTCCCTGCAATTGGGCCGCCAATTTCCCAAAAGTGGCTGTGGGGGGGGGGTCAGGCTGATTCCCAGTCTATTTTGAAGCACATTTGACCCTTTGTTCTCGCTGTGGTGAGCCCGTCAACCTTGCACCGCCCTCGGACGCACAGGCCTCACAACGTTGTTCCAGCGCCGGACACGGGTTACACACACACCCTTACGCACCGCAGGCCACTTTCTGCGCCAAGGGCGTGGACACAACCACAGCCACGAGATGATACGCCTGGCTTGAAGAACACCCACAACGTCACACCAGCGCAAATCTCACCGCATTTCGCCTTACGTGACTGGGTTAATTTGATTTGTTTTTTTTTCCTCACAACTGGCTCTCTGCGGTCAAAGATTTTCCAAGCATGCGTGTACACCCGTAAATCACGGCGGCAAGGATGGTGCAGCAGTGGGTCCTTGTGTGGGGCTCACAGGGATGGGGACGCGGTATATGTAAGGGTGACGAACAGGAGCACAGTAGTACTACTGCTGTACAGCAGTAGCAGCTATGAGGAGAGAAATAGACTGTACAGCAGCAGTAGTAGTTTTAGTTTCTGAGCAGGTGTGCATGCCTGTCTCCGACAGCAACCATCCGCACAGAGGATGTACCTGTGCAAGCAATACCTGTTGGCACATCTTCTCCACCTCATCCTTGGACAGAGCATACGGCAAACGCAAATGCTAGCGGCGCTAGATGCGAAGACGCTGACGGGAAACCGCCTCACAGAAGCGCCAGATCGACGAAAAAACGGCCCGCTCATCAGAAGATCGAGACCAACCCAACGCTAGGCCCGAAAAAAGAACTCGTTTATCAGCAAAAAAGAAAAAACTCCAAACTCCAACAGGAGATAAAAAAATAAATAAGAGAAAACAAACAAATTTACTTATCGCTCTTGAACGGCTGCTGAATCATGTTTACTAGAGCTGCAACCACATGGAAGCACATCTCCAAGTGATCGAGTTGCTTATGGTTGAATTTCTTGTCGACGATACTCCACTTCTTCATGGCCCCGATTGCCCGCTCTACATGAATGCGCAAATTCGCTACCTCTCAGTTGGATTCCATGTCGGCTTGCGTGAACTGCTTCTCCTTCTGTCGCTTGTAAGGGGGCGCCACGTACAGGAAACCTTCCTCGGTCAACAACGGCGGCACTGAATTGAACCTCTTGTCCGCCATGACCATGAGGCCTTCGTGACCAAGGCCATTGTCCCTCATGGCGTCGACAAAACCAGACGCCTTTACAACCTCAACATCGGACATCCTACCGGGATACGCGGGCCCAATGTAACGAATCGCACCCCCAAGGGTGGCCGCGACAAGTAATTTCGCCGTCTGTCGCCCTTGTACGTGGAATATGTGATCCAGTTCCAGTCAATTTGCCAAGACCTGAAAATCTCTAACTCAGTGGCGTCCAGAACTAGAACACACTTTGCATACCCATGATCGACAAAGTTCTGCGGGACGAACTCGTCCACCTCTGCTAAAGTAGGAAGACGAACCAACGGCCGAAGACTACGCCAAGGGAAGTTCAACCACGTCGTGAACGCCCTTCCCCCGGTAGTCTCGTGGACACCAAACAGGGCCGATGCCACCACAATTGGCGTTGCGGTGCGCAGGACCATCAACGTGAAAGAAAGTCCGTTCATTCCCCGAAATATATTTCGCCTCTGCTCAACCCTTGTCCCCTCTGCTGTTAACCCGCCTCCCTCTCGCTGGTCATAGAACACCATATTCTCCGCCTGACCCTCAGCATCCAGGAACTCGTACAACTTCTGCAGGCAGTGGCACGTGGGGTGATGGCGACGATGCGACGAAGGTTGCATTGCGGGTATCAGCACATGAAAACTATCTGCATGGCTCGGTTAACAGTAGATGTAACATAAAATATTCTGACTCTGCATCCGACGGGCGCGGAGTTTTCGTGACCTTTCGTTGCCGTTAAACAAAACACGACCCCTCCACTTTCCCAACAGAAGAGCAGCAACAGCAGCAGTCACCCTATAGCAGTCACCCTATAGAGGCGAAAAACATCAAGGGTCGATCCGGACTCTGCTAGATTGGTAGCGAAACCAATACAATGGAAGGAACTTACATACCGCACTACCGCGCTAGCTCATTCTTGACGAGAAATATGTCATTATGGCCTTTTATGTCAAGAACAACGATTTACGCGCTGCTGTATGCATGTATGCATTCTTCAGCAGCGGTCTGTGGAGCATATACTTATTTTACAACTGCTGCTGTGTCGGCGGCATGCAGTAATGTGGCGTGCTCGTCGATTACGGAACTGGCCGGTTTAGAGAGAGACAGAGCGAGAGACAGAGGGAAAGAGAGGGAGAGAGAGGGAGGGACACATGGGCAGAGAGAGACAGAGCGATTGACAGAGAGAGAGAGAGAGAGAGAGAGAGAGAGAGAGAGAGAGAGAGAGAGAGAGAGAGAGAGAGAGAGAAAGAGAGAGAGAGAAAGAGACACACACACAGCGAGAGCGAGAGAGAGACGGAGAGTCGCGCAGCCGGCCGAGCAAGTAAGTGCTAGGACCTACAAACATGCCTATGTATCCTACGTTACGGCCCGTCTTGGGTACTCTGATGACGCGCACAAGCCTCAAAACACTGACCTCGATCCCAACCACACCAGGGGCTGGTCCTGCTGCTTCCTTTGCACTCTTCTCGTTCTGCTTCGCTTCCTTAAGCTCCGCCTCCAGCACCGAGATGCGTAGCCTAAGCTTCCTC